CCCCTCCACGTGGGGCTCTGGAAGGAGCCTGCAGATGGCCACCTGTTGGACATGCGCTCCTTCTCCCCTCCCCCAGCCTCCCTCCACTTAAACTCTCTTTTTTTCTAGCGCAGACGTTGCCCCAATCATGATCGGGCATCTTCCTGGCAGAAATGCAGACAAGGGCAGGAAGGTTTCCAAGGAACCAGACCTCAGCCCGGCAGAAACCTGCGGAAGGACCCGAGAGTGAGGGAAGGGGGCAGATGACCCAAGATGGAGGGCCGGGAACCCATCCGCATCTCACTGCGGGAACAAACTGGTGGCAGCTGAATCCAGTTATCAGATGATAAGTGGAGTGTGCTGCAGCTCAGCCCTCAGCTCAACTCCACTCCGCGCTCAGGAACCTACTAGATAAAGACGCCTCCGTTCAGATAACTGCAAATTGCTTTTGGAATCTTCATTTCCTATTAGTTCATTAATCTGTCTATTCAAAACTCCAACAAGACAGCTGATGATCATTCCGGAGGAAGTGGGCACTGAACCGAAGCAGAAGGGAAGGGGGTTTAGAGGAGAAGTTGTTTCTGGCTTCCTGGGTGGAGGGGAATCCCAAGTTCATTCATCAAGTTATCGAGGGTGTTAGATCGAATTAATTAAGCACTTATTATGGGTCAGATGGTCGGATGAGCATTTTTCGGAGCAATTCTCTTACCTGGTGTTTTTTTTTTTTTTTTAAGCAGTCAAGGTTGGGACATATTATCATCTTTATCTCCACTTTACCGAAAAAGAAACTGAGGTTCAGAGAGGATCCATACAACCAGTTGGTGGCAGAGCCAGGATTCCAATATAAGAATATCTGCCATCCATCCAGTTTCCTAATCATATATTACCTTTTTGACTCACTACACGAATATTTATTGGATGCATTTCTTGGATAAACAAGACCCACATAAATAGGGTAAGATTTAGGGACATAAGAACAGAAGAATTTGAAAAGGAATCGTCAGAGAGTGTCGGTGCTTACAAAAGCCCCTCACATTATGAGACGTTCAGCTAGACAATAATATTTGATTTTGTTTCCTAAACTACTACCTCTCTGTAGAGCAGCGGTTCTCATAGCGGGGTCTCAGGGCCAACACATCAACATCTCTGAGGAGCTGGTTAGAAGTGTACCTCTGCCCCCAACATCTCCCAGAGAGACTGGATTTAAGGCCCTGGGGTGGGGCCCAGGACTCCGTGTTTTAAAAACCCTCTGGGGCACTCTGATGCCTGCTTCACTTCAGGGCCCATGAGCTAGAAAAAGAAAAGTAGCTCAGAAAGGGGACGTGAGACCCGCCTCACACTGCCCGGGCACAGGACCGGTCATCCAATCACAGGACCCGACATCAGGCCAGGGGCGGGGCCTGAGGAGGTGCATCCGTAACCAAGGTGATGCTGCTGATGCTGGTCTGGGTACCACTCCCAGAACAGCAGGCTCTGAGCCAGACCCTGTGGCCCCGGGAGTGTCTGGCACTCACAGGATGAGGATGACTCTGGATTAAAAAAAAAAGAAAGAAAATCATTCCCTTCAGGGAAGATCAAATCCATGCCTCTGAGCTGCTCTAGGTCAAGAAACCACCTGGAACGCACTCCTGTTTTTCCCGAGTTCTCATTGGGTAGGAGACCTTCCTTGACCTCCTTAATTAAAATTGCAGCCCCAACCCTGGCCCTTCCCATTTCCCGTCTCTGATTTGTTCTTCTTCTCAATGCATCATCTGATCACACGATCTATTAAAACTCATCTACTCTGTTCACTGTCTGCCCACCTCCTGGCCCCCACCAGCACAGAGACTTTATCGTCTTATTCCCTGTTGCTTTTCAGGGTCTGGAAGAGTGAGCACTTGCCGCATAGTATTCATGGATCACAGTTAAGCATCCCTAATCCGAAATCCGAAAGGCTCTGAAATCCATAAGTTGTTAAGCACCCACAGAATCTGCAATTCCACACTCAGGCTCACGTGTGCAAAACACAGGTGCCTAAAAACATTGCCCAACGTTAACTTTGGCCCGTGTGTATGTGAAACACACATGAATGTTGTGTAGACTTGGGTCACCTCCCCAAGTACATGTATATGCAAATATGCAAAAAGTCCAAAAGGAGACTGAATCTGAAACTCGGAAACACTTCAAGCATTTCAGATCGGGGATCCTCAACCTGCAGGAGCCATTACTGAGCCGAGGCACGCGGGTTGAATAAGTGCTCTAAGGAGCCGCCTCCGTGGGCTTGGGCACACCTCTCCTGAGTTCCCCTGTGGTACTTTTTAATGCAAGCTCTTCACTTTCATTGAGACTCACCCCTCTCCAGCGAGTCTCCCCTGGACTCCTTGACCACAGAGCCTGGGCCCTACTCATCTGCCTCCCTCCTGGGCCCTTTATCAATCAGTCCTTCAGGGCACCCAGAATGTAGTCAGTCCCTAAAGACACGTGTAAAGGACCATCCTCTGTTCTGTCCTCACTTTCACTGATGCAAACACTGCAGGGGGCAAGTTTGAATTTCACCGACGTCAGTAAGGCATGCTCATATCGTATATCGGAGACAGCACTGAATTCTGTCAAGTTTATACAAAACCAAGACCCCTGAAGCCCGTGGGACCCCCACATTAGCTACAGTAGCTGTCCGCCATTTTGCCAGTTGAAGGGCTGAACAAATTAGTGAGGTCACCAGTGTAATCCGACCATGTCCTGGTTTAAATCATGCTCCCTCCCGATCAGCCAGGAGCTACTTCAGCACAAGAGGGAGCGGGGAAGAATGTTCTTGAATAAAACATTGGAATCTGGGGCAAGAGACATTGGCTTGACTCCTTTCAACAGTCCCGAGGTAGACGCTAATATCATGCCCAATTTGCAGATGAGAAAACTGAGTTCCGGATGCCACACTTTTTTGGGAGGTGGGGGGGCACCAGGGGTTGAACTCAGGGGCACTCAACCACTGAGCCCCATCCCCAGCCCCTTTTTGTATTTTATTTAGAGACAGGGTCTCGCTGAGTTGCTTAGGGCCTCACTAAATTGTTGAGGCTGCTTTGAACTTGCGATCCTCCTGCCTCAGCCTCCCGAGCTGCTGGGATGGCAGGCGTGCACCATCATGCCCAGCAAGGCCACGCTTCTTAAGGGCGCAAGCTCACACGGGGAGTTCAGCGATGCAGCTGGGACTCGAACTCGGTTCTGCCTGCTTCCAAAGCATGGGCTGCTTGCAGCCAGCCCTCTGCCCAGCCCCCAGCCCTGCCAGCCTCCCCTCCCAACCCTTGGCAGGACCTGAGCCTGTGCCCATTACTTTTAGAACAGAGAGCTCGGAGCAAAGGCCACCTCTGAGTTCTGCCTCCAGTGCTGGAAATTGAAACAGCTTGGGAAGCCTTCAGCCTCGCTGAGTCCTGGCCGCGTCCCTGTCACCTAATTACTTGACTTCAAAAGCCTGCACGCGGCAGGGGCAGGTGCCAGGTGCGGGATGTGAAAGTTGCTATTCCCTCACCCCCACCCCAGAACATGGTGTCACTGGATACAGATAAGCCGGGGCAGCAGGCCTACAGGCCTGACCCAAGGACCTGGCCTTGTGTCCCTTGGGGTCAGAAAGACGAGGGGCCACCAGAGAGCCCACGTCCCCCGAGGCTCAAGGGGGCAGGGCAGCTTCAAAAGGCCAACGCGTGGTAATTACCGCCCAGGCTCCTTAGACCTGGATCTTAAGGCTTCTCAGGGGCTGGAACTAATTAATCCTCCACACAACCCCAGGAGGCCAGCCTTACCAAGATGGCCAGGTGGGGGTGAGGCGGAGAGTGAGCTTGTCTCATCATGGGACAGGGAGGCAGGGAGGCCCGAAAGGTCCCAAGTGAGAGTCCCCTGCCTGGCTAGGTAAGAAACAGCAAAACTGGAGAAGACAGAGGGGTTTCTAGAATCTTTTAAGCTGAGTGGCTCCTATCAAGCAAACGGAGGCGTGTCCACTTGAGACTTTTACGGACAGTGGAATGTTGCTGGCTCGTTTATAGAGATTGGACCTGAGGGGGTCTTTGGTTCAGGTTTATGGAAGGAGAGGCTGGCTGCACAGGAAGGTTCTGGTAATTTCTTACAGAGGACGGAGCTCTGAGCCAGGCGCTGTGCTATGTCCTGTCTGTTGATGTACTGGATGCTCGGCATTGTCTGAGGCAGGTATAATGGTATTCCTTTCCTACGGGACAAAATACTAGGGATGGAAAGGAGAAATGACCTGCCCAAGGTCACACAGCTACACAAGTGGCAGAGCCCCGGCTTGAAAGCCATTTCATCAGGTGCCACAGAGCCTGTCTGGTGTCACAGGGTTCTCTTGTACCTTTCCCTAGCTTCTGGCAGCCATGTCCTGGAATAAGCCGAACCAGAGTTAGGGAGTCTGGGTTTGAGTCTTGACTGCTATTTCCTGGCTGCAAGTTTTCCTTGTGGAGGCTCAGCTTTCACATCTGTAAAATGGGGAGAACTGGAACGCTCCGGAGAAGTACCATGAGGAGAAAGAATAGAGGCAAGAAGGACTTGCAAACTCCAATTCAGGGATCTGCAAACTATAGGACCAAAGCCTGTCTGTAGCCTGTTTTTATAAATAAAGCTTTATTGGGATGAATACGTTGAGAATGTCTATTTGTATCTGCTTTTGAGCTGCAGGGGGCAGCATTGAGCAGTGGCAACAGAGACCCTGCAGCTGCAAAGTTTAAATATTTACTATCTGGGCAACTAGAGAAAAGGCTTCTCACCCCAGATCTGAGACGTTATTGAAACTACAAGGTGCCATCGTGCCCCGGCACACAGCATTTTGCATTTCTACCATCTTCCATTAGCTCTGGTCCTTTCTCACAAATGATCCTTCCTTGACCCCGTCCCCAAATTTACAGAAGTGCTTTTAAGACCCATTTCTGAAATGCAAAGCAAACAACTCTTCCAAGCATTAAGAAACCACACTCCTATAAGCAATGTCGGAAACCAATATGGTCAGGCACCGGGAAAAGTCACCGCAAGGTGCAGTCACTTACTTGCAGTTTTTACACTTGAGGCCAAAAAGCATTCCCTTCCCACAGACTGTACACGTCTGAGACATCCAGTACTTGGTGGAAAACCTGTGAAAGAGACAGAAATGATCTTGGTGACTGAGCCACCTCTAGCAGGGTGAACTACTTGGAGGGGCACTGCAGGGGCCCTAGATCCTAGCCCCGCTTCTTCCAACATAGGTGACTTAATCAAATTGCTGAGACTACTGGAGCAGTCTCCTCATCTGTAAAGTGGGGTGCATAATGGTATTGGCCTCACAGGTTATTGAAGGAGTCAAGGCTTCACTCGGCGTCTGGCACAAAACAAGGGCTCAGTAGATTAGGTTACCTCAGACATTCGTAATGGTCATTTGTTCCCTTGACAAATATTGCCTGGTGGCCTACTATGTGCCACATTCACTTCTAGGACAACGGATGGGCCTGGTGGGATCCTCAGTGAGTCACAAAGCCAGGTGGGGACTCCCTAGGAGTCCACCTGAGCTAGTCTCCATTACTGTTAAGAACATCACCTGGGGAGCTTCAGGGCGCCCTGCCCTCCCTTCCCCAAAGAGCTGAGACCCCAAACTTTAGTAGCAGAAAAAAGCTCTCAAGGCAAAAGCCTTTTAAGACCCTCCGCTCACCTCCTGTTTGCTCCCCTCCTATTTATGCCAAAGGCGAGGAGTTTGGAGCGCTCCCACATACCCGGTTCCCGGGCTGGAGGAGAGGGCAGTAGGTTAACTCCCGGGCCCCGCCCCCATCCTGCCAGGTGCTTTCTTCCCTGAGATACGAAGCAGCAGCAGGGCTGGGCCCGGGGAAGTAGTGAAGGTTGCCAGGTCACAGTTAATTTTAATTTTCAATTTGTGCCACCGTCGGCAGGAGTCGTATCTAATCTCCACCGCTCTGTGGAGTGTCAAAAGGGAAATCGGAAGTGATTATATAACTTGGAGACAGAATTTTGAGGGAAAGGCTGTCTCGGTCTGCTGTCCCATCTTGCCCCATCTGGGTCAGTCCCTCTCCAAACAGAACCAGCCGCAGACCAAAACCTCCATATCTAAGCAAATAGCAATCTTCTGAGCAGAGACGCTGCTTGCCAAGAATGCATCCCTCTCCAGTTTTTGGATTTGGGGGGTTGTTTGGGCCCCTTTGGTCCCCTCGGGAGGCTAGAGAATTAAACAAGGTCCGTCTGCAGGACATGGCAGCCCCGGGGGTGATGTGCTTCACCCACCAGCTAGACACCGGGGAAGGGGGACAGGTGGCTGGTGGCAGTCTTTTCTTCTTTTCAGCCCCCTCCTGTCCCCAGGATCAGCTCTCCCTATTCCCCAGCTGTGACTCCTGATGATAGGAATGGGGTTTTAATGTCACCTCTTCATCAAGGCTAGGGTGAGTTCAGGTTTCTTCCTCCTGGCCTGGAGCCCCAGGAAGGAACTCAGGAGGAGAGGAGAGTAACAAGTCGTCCCTGGTCCCTAGGAAGTCTAGGAAGTTGGTCACCATACCCAAGATTAGCAGGTCGCTTCCCTCCTTCGGGGATCAGCATCTGAAGCTGAGATACTACCGGGTTCCAAAATTAGGGGGAGAAAGTCTGGGGATGGGGACTATCCAGAGGGTGGAGCTGAGCCAAGGGCGTGGTCAATCCAGGGGCGGAACTAAGCCAGAGACATGGCCAATCCAAGAGAGGAACTGAGCCAGGGGCGTGGCCAACCTAGGGGTGGGACCAAACTAAGGGTGTGGGCCAATCCAGGGATAGTGAAGTCAGGGGTGTGGCCAATCGGAGGGCGTAGCCGAATCAAGGGTGTGGCCAATCCAGGGGAGGAACTGAGCCAGGGGCGTGGCCAGTCCAGGGATGGTACCAAACTAAGGGTGGGACAATCCAGGGATAGTGAAGTCAGGGGTGTGGCCAATCAGTGGGCGGAGCCAAATCAAGGGTATGGCCAATCCAGGGATGGCAAAGTCAGGGATGTGGCCAATCCAGGAGTGGAACTGTGCCAGGGGCGTGGCCAGTCCAGGGATGGAGCTGGGCCTGAGGACAGCGACACAGACACAAAAGCCCCCGTCTTGAATTCTCCTCCCCTCGGCAGCTCACAGCCTAACCCTTGACCTGTCTGTCACCTAGTTCTCACTGCTCCCCCCAATCTTTTCTCTTTTGAGTTCTAACAACTATCCTGGCCACACACTTCTTTCAAAAACTGTTGACAAGATGCCATTCAGCGGGAGTGCTCATTCCCACCTTGTCCCAGGCAGTGTGTGGCGCCTGGTGTCCCTCCCCGAGCCCTGGCCCTTCAGGGTCTGTGCACTGACCCTCCCTTAGCAGCTCCCCAGGGCACAGGCCTTCCCAGTGCTTCCAACCTCGCACAGAAACCCTGAATGCGAGGGGAGGAATCATGAATGAGTGACAACGTCCTTCGGCTTGTGCACGGAGGCCCTGGCCCAGAAATCTCTCAGCGGCGCGTCCAAGAACACAAAGCGCCGAGGAGGCTCATTAGCTTTTAGGACCGTGAATCAATTCTCCAGGGTCTCGGTTTCCTCATCGATCAAATGGGCCTGGCCATCTCTACTCCACTTACCCCGCTGACTTCCTGAGGGGATTATGAGGATGAGGAGCCCAAATGTGGAAAGTCAGATTTAGAAAGTTGAAGAATTTCTTATGAAGAATGAGTCATAGGTAAAATGACTGGATGACCAGACCTCTTCCCAAAGGGTGGGGTGTGACTCCAGAGAAGAGGTCCTGGTGACCCAGCAGGGCTGCAGCTCTGGGACAAAGTGTCCCTCACAGAGAGGGAGCACAAATGAATTCAGCTTGCAATCTTGTGTTTTCTGGGTGAGGAGCCCCCATATCAGGACCTAAAGCATTTACCTTATCAATGATACCATTTACTGTTTCTTATGTATTTTTTAACAACTATCCTGTCAACATACTTCTTTCAAAAACTGTTGACAAGATGCTGCTCAGTGAGAACTTTACAGGGATCACATATATTTCATCTTCATAACCACTCTATAGATGAGCAGAATTATCTGGTAAAAAAAAAAAATGGAGACTCAGAGAGGTTAAGTCACTTCTTTGAGGTTGCAAAGCTTTACTAATTGGGATTGGAACATGAGTCCGTCTGACTCCAGAGCCCTGGCACTATGTGGGAATTTGATCAGGGTAAGGTGAACCTTGGTCCTCTGGTTGCTATTTTGAGGTTTAGCCTGGCACAGCAGACAGGGGGCAGGGTGCTGTAGGAGCTGGGGCACAACACTCTGCCCAGCCTTCCGCCCTTCATGGGCCTGGGAGGTGGTACCCAAGCACTGGGATCCCAGCCTACCTGTGCTTGATGGAGTTGCCGAGGTCTCTGCGCGGGATCTGCGGGGACCAGCGCGGCACTGACAGTGTGTCTGCAGGAGACAAGAACACAGAGAGAGAGAGCCTGTTACGCAGCAGGTCAGAGGCTGGGGCGGACTCTGGTCAAGGCCCAGAGGGACACCGACTGCCTCCACTTGCTACACCAGGCTGAGCAGAACCCTGGTTTGGGTTGTCACCTCAGCCAGTGCAAGGTCCCCTGGGCAGGGCAGCCAGGAAGTGCCTTTAAAGAAACTGCCTGTGGGAAGGATCACTTTGGCATCTCCCACTGACAGAGCACTTAGCCTGTGCCACATGAGCCTAGTGACTCAGAGGGCTTAGCTGGCCACGCCCTCCAAACAACCCCAGCACCAGGGGGCTGGCGTGTCCTCCACACAGGCCGGGGAGCCAAGGCCTGGAGAGGGCCACACTGTGTGGGCTGCACAGCACCTGGGGACCCAGGTCTGAGGGACCCCAGGGTCCGGGGCCTTGCCACATCGCAATGCAGGAGATTTCGGACAGCTGTCAATCATGTTATGGATTTCTGGCGTCCTCTTACAACTTGTGCAATGATTTAGTTGGCATTGCAGGTCAAATCCATGTCTTTGTTTAAATATTTGTTCTTAAAGACAAACTCGACATGAAAAGCTATCTCTTTCTATACATGGGAGGTGACATTTTAGACTCTCTAGCCAGGTGCCGCCTAAGCCATCTAGAATGAGTGAGTGAATGAACAAGTGGTGGGGGTGAGTGGGTGGACAGATGGACGGATGGATGATGAGTGGGTGGATGGGTAGGTGGAGGGTAGGTGGATCGAAGGAAGGATGGATGGATGGATGGATGGATGGATGGACAGATGGATGGTGAATGGATGGATGGGTACGTGGGGTGGATGGGTACGTGGGATGGATGGGTAGGTGGGATGGATGGGTAGGTGGGAGGGTAGGTGGATGGAAGGAAGGAAGGAAAGAAGGAAGGATGGATGGATGGATGGATAGGTGGGAAGGTGAGTGGATAGAAGGATGGATGGGTAGGTGGGAGGGTAGGTGGATGAAAGGAAAGATGGATGGTTGAATAGATGGATGGATGGATGGATGGGTGGATGGATGGATGGATGGATGGATAGGTGGGAAGGTGAGTGGATAGAAGGATGGGTGGATGGATGGATGGATGGATTGGTAAGTGGGAAGGTGGGTGGATGGATATCTAAATGGATGGACAGATGGATAGGTGAATGGATGGGTTGGTAGGTGGGAGGGTGGGTGGAAGGAAGGAAGGACTGGTGGCTGACTAGATAGGAGGGTGAGTGAGTGGAGGGCTGGCTAATGGTGGATGGATGGATGGATGGATGGATGGATGGTTGGATGGATGAGGAGGAAACTATAAATTATGCACCATGCACACTTTCATTTCACGCTTTAGGGTCAATCCAAGGGAAGTGCCCTGTCATTGCCCTGGAGTTCCCTGTGCACCAGCCCCACCTCCACCTCCCTCCCTGCAGACCTCACAGGCCCCAGAGAGGTGCCAGACGACAGCAGCAATGAGCCAGTGCCACCTGTGAAGTCGCCCGGGTCGGAAGAGAAGGAGGAGGGGCGGCCCCGCCCAGCTCTCACCTCTCAGGCCGGCGGGCACTTCTGCTGGCGGCCGCAGAGCGCCTGGTTGCCCACAGCCATCGCTGTGGAGTGGTCCTCAGTGGGGAGCCAGCATGTGGGGACCTGCAGGAGCACTGAGCCCCCACCCACCCACTCCTCTCTTCTAATGACACGGTGGCACCCTCCGAAAGCTGTTTCCAGGAACCCCAGCTCTGCCCTTGCAAAGCTGGGTCCTCTCTGGGGGAGCTAATGATCTCCGGACCCCCGAGGGCAGAGAGAACTGCCAGAGAGCCCCGCTGATGGATGGGTGAGCAGCGCAGCCCGCGGGATTTCCTCTAGTTTAACTAAGAACTAAATGTCATCAAGCCCCGAGTCCATTCACTACTCATCTCTGTTCCCGAGGGAAGCAACAGACAAGAAAGATAAACCATTTTTTAAAAAGAGCTTTTTTCTTTTTTCTTCTATTCCAACTTCCTCTGGGGACTAAGTCAGATGTAGAAGGAAACCCAGGGTCTGTTAACTCCTGAAGCTGGGTTGGAGAAGTCAGGTTTGCCTCCTTACGAGGACTCCCCCAAACTTGGGGTGCCACCTGGGTCTCTCCTCAAGGGCCACCATGCCAGGTGACTGACGAGAAGGTTGTGTTGGGAAGGATTCCGAGGGGCCGCAGGAAACAGCCCTGAGACTGATTAGCAATGGCTGCCTCGAGTGCAGACTGAGGGGGTGCCAACATGTCTGCACACATCTGTCACCTCTGCAAAAGGAAGCACCATGTCTCCACCTTCACGTCAGTACCTCGTACAACAGTGCAGAGAACCGGACACAAGTTTGCCATATCCAAGGTTATTGTCATAGAAACACTGAGTTGACTGATCACTCAACAAGTGTCGAGCATGACAATGTGCCTTTGATACCTGGAGACTGGGCCTCCGCAAGTTGTTGCTTTTGTTATTCCCATTAGGCAAAGGAAGAGAAAGGAGCTCAGAGAGGTGTGGTAACTTGACAAAGGTCACACAGCCAGACACTGGCAGAAGTGAGTGCAATTGTTCAAAAGCCATTCAGAAGCCGCTCCATGAGCATTCTCAACTGGAAGAGCTTTTGCTCCTTAGGGGATACTGGATGACATCTGGAGACCTTTTGGGGTGTCACACTGTGTACATGTGTTACTAGCAGGGCAAGGCCAGGGGTGTTGTTCAACATTCTGTACTATACGTGACAGACTCCATATCGGACAAATGTCAGTCATGCCAAGGTTTGGGAATTTCTGATCTAGATGTTTCTGTCTTTCTCTAGCTACATCCTCCCTGCTCCATGACTGTCCCTGACACACATGCACACACTCATACGCGCACGCACACACACACACACACACACACACACAGCCTGAGCTCCTAGAACTCAAGTGAGCTTTTACTGTAAACACATCTCACTGCTCACTCTTAGATTCATATCCCACTTACTCTGTTACCCTCAATTACAACGCATTTTCCAAAAAGTCGCTGTAATTAAGTTTGGCAGTTTGGTTTAATTTCCCAATATCCAGTGGAGGGGGGAGCTCTGTCAATTGCATTAGCGGCTGCAGCTTCATTAGTCTCCAGCTATCATAACCCTCACACCGCTTCCTGTGTGGGTGTGCAGCCTTGAACTTGGAGATTCTCTCTTTACTTTCTCTGTTTGGATTTTATTAAACTTGCCCAGGCAAGCCTTAAAGCAAAGGGAAACTGTTGAAAGGGAAAGATTTTTTTTTTTTTTTATAAAAAAAAGCTATGAGAATAGACGCCTTATCATAACAGAGAAGGCAAACAGCATTTAGAGCAATTAAACCGATATAGAAACTTCGGTTTAACAATCAAAGCACCTATTAAGATGTCTCCGTAGCTATGGGAAAGCTTCTTTTCCACTCTAATTTTCTGATAACGAGTCGTGCAGACATGAAGGCAGAATTCTGCACCTCGCTGCTGAGTTCAGTCTCAGGGACGAAATCACAGCCATCTCTCCTTAGCTGTTTTCATTTCTAGAGCTTGGAGAGGGAAGGGGGGAGGACGTGCACACACTTGCACAGGTGTGGCCTCGGAATAGCACAAGCAGCCCTGGTCTTTGAAATCACTCTGGAAGCCATGGAGACCAACAGAGGACCTGGCAGAAGGATCTGGTGGTGATAAGGCATCCAAACCAACACACTGCAAACTTGGGCTCTGAAATTAGACGAACAGATAAGGCAGGCTAGGGAAAAACACATCAGGGCGTATACAAAGACATCAGGTAAAACTGGTGATAAAAAAGCAAAGAACGAGGAGAAGAAATAAGTAAAAAATGAGAAATAAGGCCAGATTTTGGTTGAATGTCACCATGTACCAAGCCCTGTCATACACCAAGTCCTTTATAGGTCATTTTCTTGAATCCATGTACTACACATATTATCTCATTTAATCCAAACAGGACAGTGTATGCATGGAGGTAGTACATCAGCCATTATCATTTGCCCTCATTTCACCCTTAGGAAATCAAAGAGTTAGACCATTGGTCTAGGACCAGTAAAGGCCAGGTCACATGGCTTAATAAGCTCCACCAATTCCATCAATGTCATTCCTATTTCACAGATGGCAACGCTGAGGCTTAAAAGCATTAAGCAATTGCCTCTAAGTGTCAAGGACTGAGTTGGGATTTAAACCACAGCCAGGAGCAAACTGGATGCTTCTAGTCCTATATCCTCCTCAACCCATCCAAAGGCTGTCAGTGCCTCGTACCTCTGTCTGGGAAGAGTAAAAAGAAGATAAATTCCAACACCATGTTCAGCCTTCAGAGACCAGGAGAGGCAAGAACCTGCATCTCTCCGCCAGCCTCAGAAGGCACCAGCTCTGCCCACACTGGCATTAGGACCCCGTGAGACCCATTTTTGGACTTGTGAGTTCCAGAACTACTGTAGAGTAATCATTTGTGTGGTCTTGAGTCACGGCAGCCCTTTGTTACAGCAGCTGGAGGAAACTCATACAGCACCTGTCTTGTGCCAGGCAGGGTTTTAGGAATATACTGAACCGTACAATGAAATTTTCTTAGAGTCTAATAAGGAGATCAGAAGATAAACGAGTAGACAAAGAAGAGTTGTTTTAGGAAAATAAAATACTGCAGACTTTGGGGGTTGTGGGAAAGCCATGGGAATCTGGACCCCTGGATTAGAACAGGGACAGGAGGGTGCGCCACTCGGTGTGTTTAAGAGCTCCCTCTGGTGGCCAAGGGGAGAATAGCCCGCTAGGCTGGGACAGCAAACCAGGGGCAAGACCTCCCCACCTCCCCAGACCCCACCCTCCAACTCCCCACTCCCAGCCCAGTCCAGTGCATCATCTCCCACCCTTCCAAGGCCATTCCATCCCCCAGCCCAGACCGTTCCCCACTGTCCCTCATGACCCCATCAGTAGCCCCTAACCCAAAATCCACAACCACCCTTCACCCCATGCAAAGCCTGTGCC